AAATTATTTTAATTGTGTTGCTGAAAGTAGAACTATTATTTGATTTTATAATAATTTTTGGTTCATTATTTTATAATAATGCTACCAAATGTGGTCTAATTTGGATTACAAAATATGGCAATGACTAATTAATTTTTTGCAAAGGTGAGTGCGAGGAAATTCAGATTTTTCAGATACAAAAGTTTAATAATGGAATCATATTACAACGATTTTATTTAAATAAGTACTATAAGTTCCGCAGTTTTTTAACGATATTTTTCTAATATTGGATTGAATTTTTTAAATATGATTTCAACGATCACCAATAGACTTGGATTTTTTAAAATATTTTTTTTAAAGACCTACACAATTCGTAAATTTTTTATAAAATTTTTTTAAGCATCAGCTATTGGCTTGTATTCTATTAATATTTTTTCAAGTTCCACCATAAAGTGTTAGTTTTTATACCCTTCACCACACTGTGGAACAGGGTATTATGTCTTTGTGCATATGTTTGTACCAGGCAATAGAAAACGAGATAGACACATGGTTCCTTTTGAGAATATGCATAGAATCACTTTCTGTGTCGCTTTATGCATGTCCGTCCCTCCGTATGCCCTTGTTAAATTGTAAATAAAGTACAGGTCGCATTTATAATCCGATTTGAATGAAATTTGATACAGCTCATTTGTTTGGCCCAAGGACGAACCTTATTGAAATTGGGAAAAATCGGTTCAGATTTAGATATAGCTCTCATATATATTTTCGTCCGATTTAAGGTAAATGGTGTACCAAAGTCTCAAGATATCTCTTGATTTGCACGAAATTTGGCAAGGTGTACTCAATTGAGTCTAAAAAGACGTGTGTTAAGTTTCGAGAAAATCGGTTCAGATTTAGATATAGCTCTCATATACACTTTCGTCCGATTTAAGGTAAATGGTGCACCAAAGTCCCTATATATCTTTCGCTTTGCACGAAATTTTGCAAAGTATACTGAATTGTGTCTACAATGATGTGTGTCAAGTTTCGAGAATATCGGTTCAGATATTTTGGTCCGATTTAAGGTAAATGTGGCACCAAAGTCCCTATATATATTTCGATTTGCTCGAAATTTGGCACGGTGTACTCGATTGAGTCTAAAAAGACGTGTGTTAAGTTTCGAGAAAATCTGTTCAGATTTAGATATAGCTCCCATATATAGTTTTGTCCGATTTTATGTAAATGGAGCACCAAAGTCCCTACATATCTTTCGATTTGCGTAAAATGTTGCATAGTGAACTGAATTGAGGCTAGAATGATGTGTGTCAAGTTTCGAGAAAATCTGGTCAGATTTATATATAGCTCCCATATATATTTTCGTCCGATTTAAGGTAAATGGTGCATCAAAGTACCTATATATCTTTCCATTTGCACGAAATTTGGCATAGGGTACTGAATTAGGTCAAGAATGGTGTGTGCTAAGTTTCGTAAAAATATATATAAAAAATATATATATATATATATATATAAATATATATATATATATATAATCGTCCGATTTAATGTAAATTGTGTTCGTCCAATTTTATGTCAATGTTCCTTCGAAAAGGCGACGTCTTTTAGAATATACCCAAAGTGGTGAAGGGTATCATATAGTCGTCCGTCCGACTTTACTGCTTCCTTACTGGTTTAAAATATATTTGCAACCACCAAAACAAGGCGTGGATTTTGAAAAATATTGTTTAGCCTCCAAAACAAGCTTGGATATTTTAAAACATTTTCTCTATCACCAATAAAAGACTTTGTTTTTTTAAACATTTCTTCAAGGAACAACACTAAAAGTTTTATTTTCAAGGACCCATCCAAAGCGACGATTTTTAAATAAAGCATCAACAGAAGCCGTGGTTTTTTACAAAATATTTTTTCAAAGGCCTACTACAGGCGTGGATTATTTTATGAATATTTATTTCGAATGTCTACTACAGACGTGGATTATTTTCAAAATATTTTTTTCAAAGGCCTAGTACAGGCATGGATTTTTATACGCTGCACAACTATGTTGTCAGGGTATTATAGCTTTGTGCTGCACCAAGAGTTTTTAACTCCGCGAAATATTGGTCCTAGACCCACCTTTAGGTACACCGATCGTCATATCTCGATCTAGACATGTGTGTCCGTCCGTCTGTCTATTATAATTTGTAAACACGATACAGGCCACAGTTATGGACCAATCGTCACGAATTTTTGTATGTAAGATGGGTTCTGGCAACCCATATTGTTTTTGGTAAAGATAATATTTAGGGGATGAAATGGCCCAAAAACATAATTTTTGTCTTTTTTTCTGGTCGATCTAGAGTAAAAGTATATTTGAGAAATTAATAGTATATTCGAGAGGTGGTTGACCTTTAAATTGATACCATTTATATTTTTGTATGTACTCGGATGTGAGGGTTATACGTAAATATTTAAAGGTGTCTATGTGTTATGATATTGTTTAGTATGTATTAATATTACCCCACTAGAGGCCCTGATTTCCAAATTTGTATTTTACGGTGTAAATATTCATCTCGGGAAAATAAGATTTGGAAAATGTGCCAAGATTAGAAAATAAAGCTATAGACCTATAATCGGTCAATAGGGTGCAAATATCCCGAAGTATTGTCATAGTTGTCAGAATATAGAACCGTATAAAGTTAAATTTTCGTGGTAGTTGTGTAGGGTATCTTATGGTCGGTCCTGTCCGACTATACTGCTTCGCTCACTGGTATTAGAAATATATATTTTTTACAATAATAATATTGTATATAATAAGTTCGGCCTGGTCGTATTTAACACCGTTTTTACATGCATTTGTTTTAGGTTATTATTTGTTATTGGATCGGAAGCAAAAATACACAATTTGAATTCGATATGCAAAATTTATATTTTTATTTAAATCGAGGAAATTTCCAATGAATATTTTACACAGTACAAATAATTCCGATTTTCAATAATTTTTTTTCGAAGATCTATAAGCCCATAACTGAAATATTATTTCATCCAATTTACCAAACATGTCCCAAGCCATGGGTATATCCTAATCCACCATAAGCCAAATTATGACCATAGCCTAAACCCAAGGCTGGTGCAGCATAACCAACTTTAGCCAACGGAGCAGCATATGAGATGGCTGGAGCAGCAGCAATTTTAGTAATAGTAGGAGCACCATAAGTATTAGCATACGAAATGGCGGGAGCAGCAGCTATGGCATGACCACCCAAATAGCTGTGTGCCAAACCACCAGTCACATAACCAGGAGCCGCAACGGCACTGGCAATTACAGCCAACACAACAACAAGGATCTACAGATACAAAGGATGTACTAATTGGAAATAATTCGTATGTGGTTTAATTAAATTTACTCACAAATTTAAACATTTCTGCTGTCAAAGGATATTTGAATGAGTTTACACAATGAATGTTGAATAATGTTTGCATATTTTGTTGAATTTACCAAAGGTTTATATAGCAAAGAAGTTTTTCATAAAAAATCTACTAGAATATTAGAAACTTTCTAAACTATTTGCAAATATGAACATTGTCATACATATCTCTATGTACATGAATGCACATATGTTTAATTTGTATAAGTAAATTGCAGTCGTATGAATTTGTTTTGATAGAATATTGTCAAGAGCAACTGAAAATTATAGCTTTGATTTTGGCTTCATCAAAACCCAGCAATTATTTCGGAGATTAGAAATATAAAATCATGTTGAAATTAATTGAATGTCGAATCATTTTATGGATAAAGTAATTGAGCAATTGAATTGTTTGCCGACGGTTATAATTTATGTTTGAAATTAAGCTCCTAAATATTTGGAGCCTTGATTGATTTTATTAACAGTGCTCTGCAAATGGAGGTCAATGTCTGGGGGTGAAAATACATATGTTTGACGAAAAAGCCCTGGGGGTTATGGGGTATGACTTAGATATATGGTTTATGTTTGTAAAAGAAAATTGCACATGAACTCGTAAAAACATTATCCATGAAGCAATGGATAGTATCGGAGGTTTGTTCAACCTTGTGTGAACTCAGGAGTTTGCAACACCACGAAAAATTGGTCCAAATCCACCTATTTCTTATACCATCTATGTCAATTTAACCGTGCTGAACCGACTGTTGAAATCACGATAGAAATTGCAATAGTTAAGATAGAATTTGGAAATTTTTCACTAGCATCGCTATTAATCCTAAGAAGTTTGGTTTTGCGAACGAGTTTTTCGATCATTTTGGTATAACCCCATACAACGATACCACCAAATATTCGGTATTATGGGGATGTTTTGCACATCTTTGGCTGTAATTTCCTATGTTTGGTTCTCATTGGGTATAAAATCTTCCTATCGAAAATGTTCAATGTTGGTCCACCTTACTCGGTATTTTGTAGAGTTTTGACATGATTTTTAACTGAATTGGATGTATTTTAGTACTTTGAATTCACATTGGGTAACATCTTCCTACCAAAAACGATTAATATTGATGCACTTTTTACAATAGTCCCAATATAACGGTGCCCGCCATTATACGGTTTATTGATGGTTCTAGATAAGTTTTTCAACAGAATCGGCCGTAATTTAGAACTTGGATTTATATTGGGTACCAAATCTGAGTACGAAACATTATCAATATTGGCCTACGTTTCGGGGTAACTCCCATATAACCGTACCGACCCAATATTCAGTATTTTGATGCTTTTCAACCCATCCAGCTGTGATGTAGTATTTAGGGTGTAACTGGGGTGAAAATCTTCCTACTGAAAATTATCAATATTGGTCCACTTTATATAGTAGTCCCAATATAGCGCTAGACGTGTTTCAACCAAATTGCATGTAATCTTATACTCTCATTGAATAGAAAATATCTCCACCAAAAATTAAAATAAAAATATTTTTCAGGTTTCCATATCACCCTCCTAATATGTTACCTCTATTATTCGATATTTTGGGAGCTTGGACACGAGAGTTAAATCTTCCTCGAGAGTTAAATCTTCCTTAAATATTCCTTCCGTAGAGTTAAATCTTCCTTCCAAAAATTATAAATTTTGGTTTACGTTTTAAGGGCTCTGAAGTTTCCGAAGGTTAAATCATTTGATTGCGGATTGTCTATATAGGTCCAAGTTTTTATATAACCCCACATATCTGACCCGCGACTGTCCCAGGGAATGATCTATTTAAGGGACTAAAACCATTGTTTGTTTTTTATCTATTGTAGTCGTTGCAGATTATTATTGAACCATTCCAATGCGGCTTCAGACCTGACTAAGCCACCATTGACCAGATTTTCACTCTGCGCCAAATCCTGGAAAAAAACCCACGGAAAACACATCGACACATTCCACCTATTTGTCGACTATAATGCCGCATTCGACCGCCCTAATCGTTGAGAGGTGTTTAAAGTCATGTCATAACTTTAAATGAAGCAAGATCAGCAGTTAAAGTCGGAAAGGGCTTCTCGGAGCCCTTTAATACCGAACGAGGATTCAGACAAGGTGACAGTTTGTCGTGTGACATTTTAAACATCCTGCTGGAAAAGGTCATACGAGAGGCAAAAGTGAACAGAAATGGTATCGACCGATGACATCGACACAATGGGTCGAACACTTAGAGCGGTAACATCCACCTTTGAACAAATTGAGAAGGAGTCTGCCAAAGTGGCTCTGGCAATAAACGGCGAGAAGACCAAGCTGATGGTATCAACGCGCAAGACGTCCAGTAGACTCGGACCAACTGTGGAACTTTAGAACTACAGCTTCGAGGTAGTCAAAGATTTTATATACCTTGGTACCGCCATAAACAAAACGAATGACATCAGTTTTGAAATTCGGAGAAGGATAGTGATGGCCAGCAGATGCTACTAAGGTCTGAGCAAACAACTCAAAAGCAATGCCACCTCCCGCCAGACCAAACTCACACTCTAAAAGACGCTGATACTACCCGTGCTGTTATATGGATCTGAAGCATGGGTACTTGCGCAAGCAGATGAGCCAGCTCTTGGAGTGTTTGAAAGAAAAATTCTCCGAAAGATCTATGGGCTGATCTGCGTTGACGGTGAATATCGCCGTCGAATAAACCACGAGTTGTACCAGCTATTCTCGGACATCGACATGGTTAGACGTATTGAGTTGCACCGACAACGTTGGCTAGGTCATGTTGAGAGAATGGATGAAGATGCCCCAGAAGGCATATAAAAGCGAACCAGCTGATGGCTCACGCAGAAGGGGAAGAGCAAGAATACGATGGAAAGATCAGACATCAAGTCGAATACAACATTGCCGAAAATCGTCTTTCAAATTGGAAAAACTGCGCAAAAGACCGACGCGCCTGGAAATCTTTTCTATGCTCGGCTTATGGATCGAAAGTTCTGTCACAAGCCAGCTAAGTAAGTAAGTCGTTGCAGATGCCACAATTTTGACACAAACATCGCAAAATTTTATACGGGAAAGGGATCAGGTCAACGAATAAGCACGACAGCTTCAAAATTTAGGAAATCATATGGACCTAATCGTTATGTATGAGACATGAAACCCCTTCTCGTAGATACAATGGCATCTTGCCTGGAAACATCTTGCTTATTAAATTTTCATTTGAAAATTATTTCGGGTAAAGTAAAATAAGAAAAACTCAAATATTATTGGAGTATTTAATTAGATGTCTTTTATTATTATCATTATTTACAATATATACACTCGTTTAATAAATTGTCAATATAATTTTTTGTTTTAACCAAAAAGGCACAACAATTCCCTCCTTCACACTCCATCCATCTCGCACTCCTTCATTCTCAAGCATTTAAATTTAGTTAATTTTTTTTCTCTCAAAAAGTAATTATAAATACTGTTAACAGTTTTCATGTTGGCACAAATTACCAACCATGACCATAACCCAAACCCAAACCGTGACCATAGCCCAAGCCATGACCGTAACCCAAACCGCCATATCCCAAACCATGACCCAGACCCAAAGCGGGAGCAGCATAACCAATTTTGGCAACAGGTGCAGCATACGAGATGGCGGGAGCGGCAGCAATTTTGGTGATGGCAGGAGCGGCATAAGAGATTGCAGGACCATGAGCAAGAGCTGGAGCGGCATATGAAATGGCTGGAGCGGCAATTTTAGCTGGTGCAGCATATGAAATGGCAGGGGCAGCAATTGCATGACCACCTAATAGACCATGACCACCGCCATAGCCTCCCAAACCACCCAAATAACCAGGAGCGGCAGCAGCGCTAGCAACCAAAGCCAAAGTGACAAGAACCTGTAGGGAAAAAAATAATTTTGAGTTATTTATTAGCAAAAATTAATTAATCATTTTTAAGCTTATATATGATATTTTATACAAAACTATCACCGAACTTTGACTTTCGGTGGAACTAAATTTTGAATCTTAGGAAATGTCGCGAAATGTTCATTCTATGGTATGTCAATAATAATAATATTAAATCATTTTATAATTTGTAGAAACGAACGAATTTTAGTGACTTACGACCAATCTCCTTGGTTTTGAAAAAATATGTAATTTATTTTTGTTTCGAATCAAAAAAATGTTTTTACATAAATAAAGGTTTGGTCGCAAGTCACTCGAACTCGTTCGTTTAGAACTTTACAAAAACAGGCTCACATATTTTCTCTTTCGTACCCTAAGAATTTTCACGATCATATACGGCTAGTGCAAATATATATGTCACAACATGTCGAGATAAGATCGGTGTACTAAAATATACTAATCTGATTTTTTTAATCCAAGTCTATTGAAATGAATGAAAAAAAATTTTTAGCACATCTACCCTCCACAATGTAGTGTGCATGTAAAGTATCTTAAAAAGACACTCTTGATAGAAAACTTAGCTAGGAACATTCACGTACCGAAATTTATGCGGGACTTTTGCATGATAAAAACCAGTGAGCGGAGCAGTATAGTCGGACGGGGCCGACCATACGATACCCTACACAACTTCCATGAAAATCTAACTTTTGGTGGTTCTATATTCTGAGATTGGGTTTTGACTGGCTAGAGGTCAGCAAATGTTACTAATAATCAGTACAGCCCCTCTAATTATTTGTCCAGATTTCCTTCACAGTGGGTTGTGTTGTGATGTTCGGCTTTCGACACGAAAAGTACAAATAATTAATTTTTCGGTCCACTTCATCCGAAAAATTATTATCTGATCATAACCTAACATTTTAGGCGTTGTCCTTGACCATAACTGGAACCTTATGGAACATTTCAAAGCGATCAGAGCTATACTTCCGCCCTCCAGTGTGGTAATAGGTTACTAAATAATATATGAATACGTAAGCATCTGTAAATATTTAAGTGTAACTCCCGCATCCGAGTACCTACGACTATATAATTGGTATCAATTTAAAGGTCAACCACTCCTCTTGGATATACTATCTCGGGTCTATGTCCTTCAGTGGTAAATATATACGCTATAGAATACAAATTTTGTCATATTTCACACAAAAGTTAGGGTCCATTTGACCTGCTAAATATTGACCGATCATTATCAAAACAGGCATGCTCATTCTTTGGCCCGATCCCCTTCTCCATGCGGTGTTTGGGCCATAATTGCGGCCTCTGGAGCGACCAGAAAAATCGACAAAAATAAAGTTTTTGGTCCATTTCATCCCCTAAATATTAACCAATCTTTACCAAAAACAACAGGGGCCTTCATTCGGCAGAACCCATCCTACATGCAAAATGTAGTGAAGATTGGTCCATAATTGTGGCCTGTATTGTGTTTAAAATTTGTAATGGACGGACGGACACACATGTCTAGATCGACTCAGCTAGTCGTGATGTGACGATAGGTATACTTAAAGGTGGGTCTAGGACCAATATTTCGCGGCGTTACAAACTTTTGGGGCTGCACAAAGCAATATTACCCTGACAACATAGTTGTGTAGGGTATAATCATAACTCTATAATGAAAACATTATGGGAAGAAGTTTTTTATTCACCAGCAATCCGGATAAAAGAAAATTATTGCCACCTTCCAAGTAACGAAAATGGATAACGCCCCCTTTATGTGGGAGTTATGTCAGAATTATGTTAAAAGTACACAAATGGGACGGAAAAGTTTCAGGGCTGCTTTTTACCTGAAACTGTACTTCATAAATATTCTTACAGCCAATTTAATGGAGAATTCGCCTAAAATCTTCAAAATACCGAATATTGGGCGGTACTTTTATATGGGACTCTGTTGGGGCTACCCTAAAACATGAACAAATATTGATATATTCAGTAGGGAGATTTTCTTCCCAATAGGAATCCAAAATATTAGATTGTAGCCAATTCGGTTAGCAAACGTAACAATTGTGACCAAAATACCGAAATGTAAAGAGTATCGTTATATGAGGTCTTCGTTAATTGCTAATTTTTGGGTAGGAAAATTTGCTGCCTTTATATAAATATAATAAAAACGTGCCCCATAGGAACTTTGGTGCACTATTTACCTAAAATCGGACAAAAATATATTTGGGAGCTATATCTAAATCTGAACCCATTTTCACGAAATTTAACACACATCGTTGTAGACTTAATTCAGTACGCTGTGTTAAATTTCGTATAAATCGAAGGATATATAGGGACTTTGGTGCACTATCTACCTAAAATCGAACGAAAATATATATGGAGCTATATCTAAATCTGAACCTATTTCTACGAAATTTTAACACATTGTTCTAGACCTAATTCAGTACGTTCTGCCAAATTTTTGAAAATCTAAGGATACATAAGGACTTTGGTGCACTATTTACCTAAAATCGGACGAAAATATATTTGAGAGCTATATCTAAATCTGAACCGATTTTTCCCAATCTCAATAGGGTTCGTCCTTGGGCGAAATAAGTGAACTGCGCCAAATTTCAACCAAATCGGATCACAAATGCGCCCTGTACTTTGTTAACATGGACGGACGGACAGACGGATATGTATAAATCGACTTAAAACGTGATTCTAAGCATATTCTCAAAAGGAACGATGTGTCTATCTCGTTTCCTTTTGTCTGTTACAAACATATGCATAAAGACATAATACCCTGTACCACAGTATGGTGAACCTGCAAGAACCTGGAGAGTCACCATCACCCTCAATGAACCGAAAATATTCTAAACACTGACCTATAATGACGTACTAAATCCCCAAAATCCCACATAAGCGTATTTTCGGTTGACATTTTAGCAAAACCCCCAAAATACCGACCTACCGATCAAAATACGGACCTGTAATTATTATTTTTTTGGGCAGATGTATGTCAGCCACCTAAACCCCGGATGCCACATTAGAGCCCTTTCGCTTGGAAAACGGGGTTAAACTCCTCAAAATACCGGAAATTGGGAGTGTCCTTTGTATGGAAAATATTTCAAAACATGAACGTGTGTTGATAATTTTTTCGAGGAATATCATATTTAATTTACACTCCACCACAGGAAGATATAAATATATATATTCCACTCTTGTAAAAATTTTTGGAGAAACTAATTTCTTAAATCCACAATAGTGTATTCACATTTGTGAAAATATTTGAAAAACAATTTGACGATCGCCTTTTTAATATTTATGTGGTCAATTTCAGTTTAGATTTATTTTTGGATTATATAGTTCTCAGAGGAGTTTCACACTAGCGAAGTTAAATTATTTCACAAAAACAACAAATACCAGACTAAATTTGTTTTTTTAGATGTTTCAGTAATCTAATTGTTTTTATAAAAATATTCACTGTCCATTATTTGGGCATTATTATCACTTTAATTTTAATTTTAAGGATATTTATCCCTTCAATATTTCCTGCACCGATAGCAAAGTCGTGTAATGTGCGTTGGCGTTATTTCGATACGAAATATTTATTTGTATTTTTTTATTATTTATCAACAGGATTTTTCACACTTTACTTACAAACTTGAACATTTTGTTTAAAAAGGATTTATTTTTTTTCGAAAAAAAAATTAAAATTTGTTGGAGATAGTTCTGATGGCTAACAGAGTTAACTTGAGTTTGGATAACTTGTTCCAATTGCAAATAGTATTTATAGCCGAAAAAATAATATGCTTAACTTATATTTTTTCTGCCGAACGCTAAATGAAAATGAGGGAAAAATCTTAGACATAAAGTAAGGCAGTAATCTGAAGCGGCAGTAGTAACGGCAGCGACAGCCAACAGTCAACATAACCGCTTCTAGATGTTGCTGCAACAGCACAGTAACCGGTATCGGAATTGGTGGTGGTTGCTTGAACTGCAACATTTTGTTGCTGACACATTATCAACACGAATAACAATTTAAGAAGTCAAGAAATTCATTGCATGTTGTCCTCTTTAATTTTTATTAAAGACCAACGAGAAAAAATCCAAAATCGCCAAGCTGGAAAAACAGCTGTTGTTTGGGAAAAAACACAGCGAAATAAAATAACTTTTACTATTTCAAATTATTTTTTATTTCTGTGTTATTGTAATGCATTGTTTTAGAGGCAGTTTAGTCACATAAACAATATTTGAATTGGTAAGAGTTTGGGATTTTTTTCTTCTTTTGACCAGAGTAAAATACTCTTATGATGATCTCCAGTTGTAGTTAAAAATGGGTGTTAGCTGTTCACCGCTGTACTTCGCTGCTATTCACTTGGGGTTTGGTTTGGCTCAGTGTCAGATTAAAGTTAATTTGAAAATAAACACAACAACAAATACAGAATATGACCCGGTTAAAAGGAAGTTGTTTTACCAAATTGGACAAAATATAATTTGAATTGCATATTTTTTTATTTTTGAAAAAAGCTTATTGTTACAAAAATCAACATTCACCATATTTGGTGAGTTGTGGCTGTGGTGGCAAATATTTCGTAATTTGCTTTATTAACATAGCAGTGAAATAATTTTTTATGAACTCATTTATTATTGGTGGAGTCAATTTTTGCTTTGTTTTGTAGGACAGGTGAAAGGTTACTGGAAATTTGTAGTTGTGTTGCATAAATTGCATTATGCCACATAATTTGTAAACATAAAAACTATTAATTTGAAAAATGTGGACAGGGTCGTGATTAATTTGGCAGGAAGCAATATTAGAAATGAGGTTTTGTTAAAATACAAAATATTTATTTCAGGATCACAATTATTATACTAATTTCTTTCTGGATCGCAAATGAGGGGGAATATTTAATTTAATTTACATTTTTTTTCATAGGCCATAATTAGGTATACTACTTTTAAATATTTTATTATGGGATGTATTTTTTAAGATCATAAATAAACATATTTTTTTAAAC